CGTGTACGCCGTTCCGTTACTCTTTCGTGAATATTTTTACTCTCGGGATACGGTCAATTTTTCAAATTTAATACGAACAAATATACCCGATTGTTATTAATAACGAACAGGGATATATTGTTCGATGTGTTTTAATATCAATTTTCTTAGACGTAGACATTTCATTTCCTTCTCTTATTTCTTTTCTTTTTTTTTTTCTTATAATTTATTGAGAATATTAATAAATGACTGATTGAGGTAATATCCTGTGTATAATAGGAGAAAGAAATTATTTAAAAAAAATAACGAAAATATGACTTTTTGGAAGATTCGTAAATATATAATACAAATTTTATTTCATATGAAAATTCTCGTACCGAATCGTGAAATGTGCCAAATTATCAGAGTGGAGTTACATTAGTCGAAAAAGTGATAAAATTGATAATATGATGTTTTTTTATATTATAATTATATATATTATAAAATAAATCATATATAAAATTAATCCACATTTTTTATCTTTATTCACTGTCATAATTATCGATATAAATGACATAAGAATTTGTCGATTTAATCGTTTTACAAAACAAGTTGCTTATGAGTATTATTATAGTATCATAGTTTTTCTTTCGATGCAGTTATTTTGCATAAAATAATTAATTATTCGTTGGCGTTGGAATCTGTTACAGTTATAGTAAGAGAAATGATATTTATAGAGTAACAAGGTTATACGCGTGTATTAATAAACAGGTACTCTTACAATGAAATCAAATTACTTTATAATATTTACGAAAAAGAGAAACAAAAAGAGATTACTACTAATGAAGTATCATAAATAAGAAAGTTCATTCCTTGTCTTTCATGGTAATGGTGACATTCCTTAGTTGATTATTAAACGGACTGTTACGAAGAGAGAATTGTTTTATTATTAATCAGATCAACTTCTAACTCCGGCTTCTTCAAGTTTATAATATACATGTTTAACTTCTATATATATATAGAGTATTTCAAAAGTCACTTTACTGAGAAAATAAAATCATAACAATTTTCACATTTCAAGATATGAATTTTCAATGACAGTGATGTTACAGAAATATGGACTCATGATGCAATTTAAATATCTGCAAATAGTATTTATAATTTGTCAGTTTGGTAAATCGATTTTTCGGAGATTCTATTTATACATGTATGTTTTATCCATACAAATAAAACAATATTTACCGGTAATTATGGTAGAGTGGGCTAAATAAGAAAATTAACAAAATCAATTTTATATGATTTATTTTTTATATTACAATTATTTATATTATAAAATAAATGATAAGGTAAATTTTTGTTTGTTTACTTATTGATAATTCATTATTTTAATTACCAATACATATATATATATACATAAATACATGGTACAATTTATAGTTGAGAAGCTTACATCGCTTACGTGACTTTGCGAAGTAATGGTACGGCTAAAATCCGTCTTAATTAATTATAGAAATCTTCGTAGTGTACTCTAGATCTTGGTGTCTCAGTTACTCTCGACTTTCCTTTACAGAAGATTGATATGTACGACCCAATTTCAGTTTGTGTTACGTGATAATACACCGAGAGGTGTTTCACTTTCGAAGGCGTGCACTTGAATTATTATACTAATACCTTGCTTTGCATCAGTTTATCGCGTGTTGCTTGACTCCTGAAAATTATAAAGATAAATCGCAAATACAAAAATACTACGTGGTGCGTTCCCGAGAAGATCAGCCTTCGATACTGAAGTGTTCTTTTTTTTACTGAAGTTCTATCTTCTTTAAGACTCGTTTTATTTTTATTCTTTAATATATGTTGAGAATGATTCCAATCGAGGAAACAAACATTTTTCATTTATCGATTTTTATTCAATTATAAATATAACATATATATATTTATATATAAATATTTGATCAATGTATGTCATAAAATAATATTTGCATATATAATATAATGAGTAAATATTTGTCTTTTCCTCGTTTAATTTTACTATTTTTCTTCTCATTTATGATATGCAAATAAAAAATACAATTTAAAATAGAATATAGAATAATTAATCAATTTTTTGTATTATTGATATACACTTTATATTGCTCTTAATTATTATTCCACTAATGCGTAAACAATCCAGTTTTTTTTTCTCTTATATAATATTCTCCGTCTTTCAATTATTCTTTCATATTTCATTTATTCTGCGCTTGTTTCCCTATTGATTATTTTTCATCCTTTATCTTTTTCTCTTATCCCTCTCCTCTTTCCTTTTCTCTAGTATCACCGTTACCTTCTTCTGTCAGTTATCTTACTCTCCCTCTCCCCCCTCACCCACCCACCACCCCATATCTCTCTTATACGTGCTCCCACGCTTCTTCTTTTACCTTCACGTATCCAATGATGTTTTTTTTTGTTCTTTTCCTAATACCTCTTCTTCTCTCTCTCATTCCACACATTGCATAACAATAAATATAATATAAA